AAAACACAGCCGGTCAACATAACAACATGACAGCATTACTATGACAAACTTAGTGTCATTTTCAACACTCAAACCATTTATAAAATTTACTTGTTCTAAATGTAGCTCTTTATGCCAAAAATTATTAGTCTTTTACTTTTTGGGTGAAGGAAACAAAGAAGGTATAACGAGTTTTATTTATATCAACATTAATAACCAAAAAGCATATTATTTTGACCAGAAAATTACTTGATCATACACTGTTTCATCAGGTTCAGTTTTTTTCTACCAATAAAATCATTTCATTAAGAGTTTCGACTAGACGCTCTTTAAAACGTTTTGAATCCTGAAAAAAGTTCAAGTAACTGTTTTATTCCTTAGCCTTTCCAGTAGTTCTGAATTCAACGATAAATAAAGTATATATGTACCGTTTTTAGAGCTGAGTGATATGAAGTGGTATGTATGCATATTGAATGATTTCCTGCAAAACGATAGCAAACACCATAACCATCGTGAGCCACTGCTCCAAATGCAGCGCCTAACCATGAACTTTCAGCATCGGCATCTTCATCCAAATGAGTTGTCATTTTTGGAGCCTAGTGCACAGCAAATAGATGTTTACAAAACCATTAACTATCTATACTGTATGAGAAAAACCGCCTAAAAAAAAGCAGCAAAATCACAAAAAAACGCACTTGACTCGTGCTTAATGTCCACGGTTGACCTATGTAGTAGTCCAGGAAGAGACTTTTAAAACCGAATATTTTGCTAAATACAAACAGTACAAACAAATGACGGTCAATTCCTTTCCCAATCATACACAGTCGATTGTTTTCCGTGTGAACCACTGAGGCTTTTAATAACAGCTGTAGCCTTTCCTCATCCTAAAACTTTTACGGTATTTTTTCTATCAACTTATTTTCTTTCTTGATTCTTTCAAACTGAGTAAATGTGAATATTGCACTTTTCACCCTGCAGCAGAATATGCTTAATACTTGGAACTGTTCTGTGCCAATTCTTCGCGAAATTTTTTGAAAATTTGGAGCTATTTTGAATACCAATAGTTGAATAGTGATAAAGTATTAACTGAACACTGCCGATCCATCATTGCTCTCACAAAAGCACATGATTCTTTGGTTACAGACCGTAACGTTTCTGTTCTAGCATTCGCATAAAATCTGGTTGAAGCTGACTCATATGTGAGTGCAAATTTGCCTTGGTCCTTAAACGTGGGAATGTTGCTGGTGGTTTAATCTGAACAATGAATTACCAGAAGTAAAGGGTAACCTTATAATATGCAAGCTGAATGGCCATTTGCATAAAAGCGTCTGGTGAAACATTGCCTTTTTTGATTCGCCCCTTACCAAACTCTCTAAATATTAAACACTTGCAATCTACATCGTCTTTTTGCTCCTGATATTTGTCGTAGCATCGTTTTGCTTCTTCAGCCAACTGAAACAGATAACATCCCAATCATTAAGTATTCCCTCGCATTTTGAGATAAAAAGATTCACTTGAGGAAACAGCCAGTTAGCATACTAAAACATTTTAATAGAAAGATCATCACTGATTACAAGTTTCAGACCTCTGAACTAATATCAAACTTTAAACGCTTAAAGCCACTTTGGCGCTGAGGTTTTGAGTTTTCGCCCTCATTTCGATCAGCATGCGACGATTGCTTACCGTTAATTTCCGTATTTGGATATCTTAAAAACAGTAAAGAACTCAAATTTTATGAGATGCAAGTAAAATTGCAACAAAGCCAATCGTAGTTGAAGTTACTGTCCAGTATATCACGTCACATCAACGTGAATAAAAGTAAAAGAAAAAATCACTTGCAACGCACTATAACTTACCCAAGCACCTTAACGTCCATAAAAACAAAATTTTCCATAATGTGGTCAAATTCAGCACCGTCAGCAACACTGTGCTCTGTGGTTCCGCCACACTAAACAACATTAAGGTTCTTGGTAATCCTAGAATTCTATGGTACTTACAAGACTTCACTATTGAAGATAGTTTATTGAGCGTTCGCTTCAAAAACTGAAATGTTTTGATGAATGAAATTTAGTGTTTCAAGTGGTTTTTGTAATTTCTTCATCGCTTGAAATGTAAGAGAAGTTCTCTTCTAGAGAAATAAAGCATCACCATGATTTATATGCAAGAAGAAATCTTATGCAGTAATGGCAATGATTTGTTAGTAAAATCAGGCGACTTCACTATATTAACTAGATTCATTAAGCTGTAGCCGAATCAGCATAACCAAGAATTTATAATTGAATGAGTGATCTGCTAACTAACTCTGGCATTTGTACCAATAGTATAGTTAAGAGTTTTATCTGCCCACCGATTAGCACCATTGCCAGTTAACATACTTTTCATAAAGGCATCTAAGGCTTCTGGGTGATCCTGTAACAGCGAAAATCAACTCCTTCTTTGGTACAGGGAACATATGTTGTTTTGAAGTAAAGAAATTAAAGCAAAGTAAATTTGCAGTTATAAAATTAATTAATGAAAAAATTGAGTTATTAAATAAATAATTTAAACAGGATAGTTTCGAAATTCTTTAATTAACCGGGTCATAATCGTATTCGTTGGTATCGTCGAGTACTATCACAAATATTGCTGATTCAATCACGCTCAAGGCTTCTTGGTTAACAGAGTTCTGAAGAAAAAATCTTTCGCGATTTTTACACCATCTATCTCGTTTATCTGTTGTCAGTGCTGGGATATATCTTTCTGCAACATCTGTTTCAACGTTGTCGTTCAGAATTTCTTCATATACCCTGAAAAATTTTGGAGCTTATGGATGCACTGAAGAGTAGATTTTACTGATAGAAAGAGAATAATCTGTAATTTTGCTAAGAAATTGTAAAATATATAATAAAACAAACAATCTATTTGTAAGCATTAATTGTTTCAAGAAACTGTTTTTCTTACTTACTCGCTAAGACGTTCTATAGAGCATATTTGGTCATTTTCGTCAAACACGGTAATTTTAAAAATTCTTCCTTTGTGTAATGCAATTATATGACGTGATAATCCATAAATCTTCCAGTAATCTGCAAATTACCTTTATACTTTGAAGCTTCTCAAATTTAGCTATTAGGCGATGGCAAAAGTAGAAATTGCAAATCCTACCAATTGTTTCACCCGGCACTCGGCAAGTAGCATAACACTTTCGATAATGTGGAGAACAGAGCATTCCGCCACCTATCTAAATCAAAACAAAATTTATTTTTTTTTTGACTGAATGACCAAATTTCGTTTTCTGAAAGTGGTAGTATAAGTTTAGATTAGCCATTAAATAGAGATCAAAGATACAGTGAGAAAAATTTGGAAGTTTAGAAGTTATACTAAAAGTGATATAAGACACCAAAATTTTAAGGCTTTTATTTAGCCTGTTATCTGTATAACTCTATTTGATGGATCAAGCTTATCCTGCTTCGAAATATAATGTTTGAAGTATCTATAAGATCATACTTAACTGTCAAACTCACAATCTAAAAACAATAATTTTCTAGCTGCTCTCACTGTTACTTTGTTAATTACTGATTAATGACAAATTTAGACATTAGTTGATATAAACAGCAGCTATTTACTCAAAAAAAACAATCATACGGGAGTTATTTCTTCTTGATCAATAGCTAACATGCTAAGGGTTTCTATATACGTTATATGAGCAGCTCGTACAGCCTGTGTAGCTGGTGTGTCGTAAAACAGATCCTGAAATAGTGAAAAATTTGCAAATACAAAATTTGAGAAGCCTTTTTTCTGTTTAGGGCATTTATGTGGTAAATTTAGCTATAATACTACATACCCTTACAAAAAAATAAATAAATAAATAAAAGTTTCATATTTAAGGCCAACAAAATTTGTGACTGATCCGCTAACACAAAACTAGAAGAGTGTCATCGAAACTTACACAGTGTGCTACACTGCTGTTTATTAAGAGACCATTTCTTGAATATAAATAAGCATACTTCTCCCAAAAGTTTGTAACCTGTAATTGTAACCTGATTGACTGATACACAACAGAAACAACTAAGTACTTAGAGTTATGGAATCAAAGTTTGGAAGAAAACATACGTAGTTGCTAACAAACAACGAATAAATTTTTGTAATCCATTGTAACCATTTACCCTCTCTTGCCAAGAACTGTTCAGCCAATTTCGATGTCTTTTCAAAATCATCCTAAAAAGACTTGTTAATAAGGGTTCCAAAAATAGAAGGTTTTAGTCACAAACCTTATCTATAATCGGCTGAATGCTGTCTAAATATTTCTGAACAGTATCTCGAAGTTGAGGAACTGGAAGATGCGGTAGCAGTGGTTCACAGGAGCACAGCTTAGGTGGTGGAAAAATCGCTAACAAAGACCGACAAATCTATAAGTTTCACTAGGTGTTTAACTAAAGATTGCAGTGACGTTGAAAGTAGACTTTAATTGGTTGGCTTCACGGTAAAACAGTATTTCACGAGATTCCGTCAATTCTTTTGATACTTACGCCCCAAAGTTTGGTTGTAAATGAAAGATCTGTAGGTTTTTCGAACAGAAATCCCTTGTAGCTAAAAAAGAAATATTTCAAGAAACAGCGAAACAACCAGAGCGGTAGGTAGCATATTGTGAAGATCACCTGAAAACCAAAAGTTGTTCAGTTTATAATGGACAGCTTATGCCTCAAATAAAAAAATTACTTATTGTTGCCTCAGAGAAAATTTTGGAAAGAATCTGCATAAGTTTTTCAACAAAAATGTTGTCGACAGTTTTTTTGTACAAATTTTTTTGAATGCAAAACAGTATTTACCAAAGCTGAATAAGCGACTGAACTGGAGGAGATTGGTAACAAAGCGCGAAGGAAACATTTGTAATAAACTGCAGTTACGATCAGTAAAAGTGACGTGAGGTGCATCGGCCGTAATGGATACACAAGTGAATAAATGTAATTCTGCAAATGCCGATTAAAATTATAACTCCAAAAAAAAAAAACAAATTTTTTCATTTACTTTTTGTAATGTTCATTTCACTGAGAAAGTCGTTTAAATTTGTCGAAAAAGCGGTGTATATTAGATAAACGACAAAAAGATATTAACATGTATTTTATAGGTGTATCTGGTTATCGGGCTTGGAAATGAGCCGTCGACATGATAAGGAGATTGGCAGATGAGCTTTGAAAATTTAGCTACCATACCTAAAATAAAAAAGAGTGATAATCACTTTTATACAAAGAATATAGATACATTTCGAAATTTCGGCCCGGGGTAACCGTAAGTTTTTTCTTCAAAATTACATTAACTTCAGATTCTCAAGTTTTTCATAGTACAGTTGAGCAAAAAACGATAAGAACTGGGTGAAAACAAAAAGTAACGTTCTTTAGTTGTAAAATATATTAGTAAATAAACTCTTCTTCCTTTTTTTTTTCACAAAAGTTGAACATATTAAAATTTTAAAACAGTATAAAAGACAATAACGGTGAGTTTGTTAGTTGGTTGATTGGTTGATTGGTTATGTGGTTGGGTGGTTTTCAAAGGTCAAAATAACGCTAAACGGTTATGTATATCAAGTGCTGTGTATATTTTACAGTTGAAAAACGTTAATCGACACGCTAGAGATTTTTGTTCATTGTTATTTTTTACCGCTTTTCTCTTCTAACAGGCATTAGTTTTTCATGTGTTCAAATCACCTTTTTGTATGTTCTCAAGCAAAATGAGTAAACTGTCATATCCTATGATATTTAGTGAAAATGAATGTAATTTCTTAGTTGTTGTACATTTTACATTTGTCATTTTCTCGCAGAAAATGACTTCGTATAAGTGCATTTTTAATAAACACTGATAACTGAGCTTTGATAAGTTCTAGATAAAAGCAAAAGTAGAGGAAAATAGATTGAAAAAAATGAAACAAAATTAGAACTCATGGTTGTTTGTCTTCAAAGGCCTGCTGAACACATTGACATTACAGAACTGTCGTTATCCCAATTAAGGGTCATGGTCTTATTGACTGGCCTGCTGTGAAACGTCTTACGACAGTTATTGCATCCTTCTTCTTTCTTGTTACTTTTTTTTCTACTATTTTGTAAAGTGTAATCAACAAATTAAGCATTGAGCAAAAGAATCATCAAATCAACAATTAATTATTTTTTTCTATACTGCGCCAAATATTATCAGCAATTAGTTTTGAATAATTTAATCTTGCTTTTCGACTATATGTACTGTCTATACTATAGAAAAATTTATCAAATTATTGGTGCTGACAAAATTTCGTATTTATAAATCATAACTCTTAAATTCAGAATGTTTTAATAAATAAAGCACTTTAGTTTTGGTAACACCATTTTTTTAGCTAATGAAGCTGGCAAATTTTATTCTTGATAAATGTGGCTATGTTTCACTGCAGAAAATACGGAAGATGAAACTACGACACTGAAACAGAGTTCAGCTGAGTGGTAAGTTCGCCAACAAATTGGTCAGGTCTTGGTACAAACTAATAGTGTTTTCTAATTCTGAATGCAACATTTCGGTTGATAATCTTTTATCAGTTGCTAGTTGAGGCAAACAAGAAAAAATCAAAATTTTGACTTAACAACTGTCTGATTGATCAAATGTCACTGCTTTCTTCGACCATATCAAATATATTTTATACTTTTTTTTTAGAAATTTCTAAATTCTTAGAACTTTAATACAACTTTTATTTGTACTCATTCTATTACGGTCATTAACTAATACGCTTTTTTTTATCTACTACATCTGCATAACATTAGCAAAAAGCAAAGAAACTAACCTTTAATTCTTATAACAGTTTTACTGCGTGATTAAAGCCAGACAGCTTCAAAAGTTGTGCGGCCAAACTTGAAATGTGTCAGCAAATTTCTAAATTCTAGTAAACAGAAAGCAGCCACTATTATTATATCGTGTAAATACTGAAAGAAAAAAAATTGAATTTAAACAGCAGTAGTTGTAGAAATAAATGCTTAGCAGTCACTGCTAGATGTGCTAGAAAAATGCAGATACAATTACCTGCAGTTTTTTGTTGAAAAAATTAGAAGAAGAAGAAGAAGAAGAAGAAGAAGAAGAAGTAGAA